GTGGTGGTATATGTCTTTAATACCAGCACTGAGGAGGAAGAGGCAGGTAGATCTCTGTGTATTTGAGGCCAGCCTGATCTATAGGCAAGTTCTAGGCAGTCAGGGCTACATAGTAAGATATTGTCTCAAAAAAAAAGTCATAACAATAATTTGATATATGGTTAAAAGCATAAGCCAGGGTACAAATTTGTGTGTCTCAGTTCTCCCAATCAAATGCATCTGGCACAGGGAAAAAGATTGGTCTTGGTGCCATCTTTTAAATTAGTTTAACAAATGCTATTAATGTCTATGAAGGCAAGGCTTCAGAAGTTTGGGCAAACTTACCCTACTAAATGATGAAAACCAACAAAAATAATAAATTAATGGATCTGCATTGTAGAAGTTATTTGCATTGTAGAAGTTATTAATCCATAGGCCTCATTTACCTGCCATAGATTCTATTCTGCTATGGGAGTGTGCTGGAACTCTTCCTAGAGAGTTCATGTTTGGATGATGCCTGTAGTGGTTCTGATTGTTTTCTTCACCTCTCTCCCCAAAGGCTGTAGTTCCCACAGGTGATCATGTAAGAGTGATAGGGAGAATGCACTTAAATAAGATATGCAACCCTACCTCAGGGAAGCCAGATGATCACTGACAGTTGCCTAAGGTGTATGAGAGAAAAATACATGTGGTGGTGGACCAAGCAGAATAGATGCAGGCTCACAGTTCTCCAGATAGCTGTTCAACAGCCTCTTGCTATGATAGTTCTTAACTCTATAGCTGCTATAATAGGTTACTCTAGGAAGTATCAAGGAAAGTGTTGAAGCATTAGGATGACACTTATCAGGACATACATCAATATTTTAACTGGTATAGCTAAATCAGTATACAGAGCCTGAATGTATGACAGAACAGGTTCTATACTTGCCATCTTTTGGTCTTAAAGCCCATTTTATTTTCTTATTAAAATAGTTTGTCAGTTTTCTTTAAAATGTGTTTGTGGGCTGGTGAGATGGTTCAGTAGTTAAGAGCACTGACTGCTCTTGCAGAGGACCTCGGTTTGGTTCTCAGCACCCACATCGCAGCTAACAACCATCCATAAATACACTATCTGGGGATCCAATTTCCTCTCTGGCCTCCACAGGTATTGCAAAACATGGGTGCATAAAAATAAATTAAAAAGAAATGCCTAGAATGTGCTTGGTATATCTTTTTAAACCCTTTTAGGTTTTTTTGTTTTGGGCGTTTTTTGATCTTTTTAAGACAGGGTCTCCCTGTAGCTCCAGCTGGCCTGGAACTCACTATGTAGACCAGGATGGCCTTGAACTTACAGAGATCCATCTGCCTGCCTCTGTCTCCTGAGTGCTGGGACTAAAGGCATGTGCCACCATGCCCGGCAATACCCTTTCATTTTTTAAATCACTTGTAATTTAACAATCTTGGTCTTTTTCTCCTCTTTGAAAGAGGGGTCCTGACATATTATCTAAGCCTGTTTCAAACTGATGTGCTCAAGTGATCCTCCTGCCTGAAGACTCCTGATAGTGGGAACTATATTCAGTTAATCTTTGGTTTATTTTACTTTATTGATATGTAGCCCTGGTTGGCCAGGAACTCACTATGTAGAGCAGGCTGGCCTTGAACTCAGAGATCTGCCAGCCTCTGCCTCCCAAGTGCTGTGATTAAAGGCATGCACCACAATACCTAGCTTAATCTTTTTTTTTTAAAAAAATGTATTTTTATTTTTATGTGTATGCATGTATTGCCTGCATGTAAGTGCATCCATGTTGTGCAATGCCCATGGACATCAGAAGAGGGAGTCAGATTCCCTGAAACTGGAATTATGGATAGTTGTTAGCGACCATGTGAGTGCTGGGAATTGAACCCAGGTCCTCTGCAAGAGCAGGTAGTGCTCTTAACCACTGAGCCATCTCTTCAGCTCCTCTAATCTTCGTTTTTTAATTAGAACACTCATATTTATTTAGTGTACTTAGTAATAACTAAATTTATTTTCAGCTATACTTTGTGCTTTTTATTTATTTGACCTCATCGAGAGAGAGAGAGAGAGAGAGAGAGAGAGAGAGAGAGAGAGAGAGAATGTGTATGATAGCCCATGGATGTACATGTGGAGACTAGAAGTTGGCATAAGGTATCTTCCTCCATTCAATTCCACCTTACTTTTTTGAGACAAAGTGTCTCACTGAACCTGGAACTTGATGTTTTATCTAGACTAGCCAGTGAGCCTGAGGGATCTGCCTGGCTCTTCCCCCAAAGTGCTGGGATTAAAGTTATACAACACCATACCCAGATTTTATGTGGGTGCTGGGGATGAAAAATCAGGTCCTCATGCTTAAGCAATTTCCCCACTAAGCCATCTCCCAAGGCCATCTTTCTTACCTTCTTTTTGGAACTTTTTTCTCTTATTTTTTTTTCCTTCTACTAGTCTGGAAGGAAATTATATATTCTTTTTGCTTCCTTGAAAAAATTTAATACGCATACTTATTCAAGTTTTAAATTTTATTTATTATTTATTATTATTATTGGTGTATCGTGATATGCGCATGGGAGCATGAACAGACTAGAAGATAACTTTGTGGAGTCAGTTCTCTCCTTCCACCTTTACATGGGTTCTGGGGCTTGAACTCAGGTCACCAGGCTTGCACAGTAAGTTCCTTCACTTGCTGAGCCATTTTGCTCGCCCTACTTTTAATATACTTTTTTTTTTTTTTTTTTTTTTTTTTTTTTTTTTGTGCCCGAATACAGCCCCAACTGTTTTTTTTTTTTTTTCAATTTCCATATT